CTCTCCTGGGGAAGGGGTACGCGGTGCAGAGTGAGAAACAGAAGGGATCCCATGAGCTACCATCCCTTCCACTACTGGTGTTTCTGGTAGCCCAGGGGTGGCTACTCCCACTACTCCTGCAGGAAACCTGAAACCAACAGAAACAGAAATTACAAGCTTGTCCAACAGAGTTATGCAAGAGGAAAGGAGCTATACCCTCAGGTACCTGCTGAATACAAATACCTCTTTCTAACAGAAATGCTCTGAGACAGAACACAGGAAAAGTCTCCAGAGCTGAAAAGTAGCAGTTCTATCCTAATACCAAATGATACCTGTTCCAAGGCAGAGATAGTCTCAGGTCACCTATTAAGTATTTGGAAAATAGGTACAAAGTTTATCTCCAGTGGAAAACAGTGTGAGGATAAGGAGCTGAACTAATAAAACAGCTTATGTCTATAAGAGGAAAAACAGGAGACTGATACTGATTAATTGCTAATGAACCATTCTTCCATTACTTCCATTCTGTCTCCCTGTGCCTTCTCCATAAATAAATCTCTCAGAGAAGGGAAGAGAATGTATTTCCTACTTTGCAGACGGGAGAAAAACAAAAGGGAAGCAACCTTCCCACTATCCCACCTGGCAGGTCTGTAACAGACAAATAAACTGAAATGGACCCTATTTAGGCCACTACCCAAATCCACTGGTCGATGTCTGTTTAATAGTCCATATCTGGGCTACCAGTAAGAACTGTGCTTTGTTTATACAGCCCTAATGATATGCACAACTTCTAAATGTTAAGATCCAGACCACTTTTCAGTCACCCAGCAGGCTTTCTCATATTAAGGTATCTATTGGGCAGGTCTTGCAAGGATTTGGAAAAAATAACCAGTATGCAACTGGAACTAAAAATGACCAAGTAAATGTTAAATCTTAGTACAGCTTCAGAAGTGCTGCTGTTAAGTTTCTGGAAAGAGCTCATATACAGAGCATACAGGAACAGAAACATACCTGCTTGCAGGTACAAGCAGTTCTTAAACCCGAAGAGGGATGTTGGCCTACTTCAGTAGGCAGATATGCTTGGAAGCAGTAACTTGGACAACCTACATATCTCACCTGTAAGCTGCAGCTCCATTGAGTTCTGGGTGGACAGTTGCAGGATCAATACTGGACCACTGAGCTGCTAAGAGCAAGTACTCCTTATTAACACAGTTCCTCAAAGCATCAGGTATGTGACCTGCAAGAGCGCCAAGAAGACAAAAAAACAGGACACAAGTAGGAGGGGCTCGTTCGCTGAAGGATTTACAAAGGAAAGTAGAAAGGAAACGCACAGCATCTTTTCCATCTACCTCCACAGGGTAACACTCTCCTCTGAACAACTGGTCTCTGGAGAAGACAAAAAACTGATCCTTCCTTCCCACTTCTGTGATCTTGTGGAAATTACTGTCCACAAACTGCAATTGCCAAGCCTCACCTTCCCCAAGAGACAATATGTACTACTCCAGATAAAAGGTGTACAGTATAACCGTCAAAGGAGTTACAGCAAAGGATTTGGAAGATGTGCTAGGTACAAGGCTTTCCCAGGGAGGGAAAATAACACTCCAGCATTAGCTACAAGACTCTCGGAGGGCGAAGAGACAATTACCAACTTAGGCTCCAGTTCCAGAAACCAGTTACCGAGTCTTAAGTTTTCAGAACAATCAGCATAATCCTTGCAGTGAACTAACAAAAGAACACTAATTCAGCAACAGCTGCAGAGCACAGAATCTTCCTCATTACCTGTAATAGCTCTGCGGATCTCTTTAGCTGCATCTTCTCTGGATTCAATGGAAGCCTGCTCACTGTACCAGGCAGTGTGAGGGGTGCAGATCACATTGGGTGCATCTTTTAAGGGCCCCTGAGCAAAGCTGGTGGGGAGGAGGAAGAGGAGAGGGGAGGGGGGAAAAAGAGGTTTCTCTTCAGAATTGATGAAGTGATAACCCCATCTGTCCTCTCAGGTATCATTGTTAATCAAATAACAAAAAACCATAAGAATCATCCAGCATAGCTGAGTCACAGGATAGCAGCAGGCATGCAGGTGCAATGTTACCTGAAAGGCTCAGACTCATGCACATCCAATGCTGTTCCTCTGATTCTCCCCTCTTTCAAGGCTTGTGCTAAGGCTTTCTCATCTACTAGCCCTCCCCGGGCTGTGTTCACTAAGAAGCAGCCCTGACGCATCTGGAAAAAGAAAAATATGAAGTGGATTGAGAATAAGACTTTTCATGGAAGCTAAGTGAGTCTTGGGAAGTCTACTGGAAATGAGCAGGAGCCTGCAGTGATTAGATGAGGCCTGCAAAGCTAACCACAGGGGAAGTGCCTGCAAGCAACGCTTGAAAAATTTGCTTTTAAAATGAACAAACAAAACCACAAGACAAGGGCAAAAGTGGAACTCTCAAGTTCTGCACTCCATCCTAATACATTAAAAAAGAAAGAGGACATGAATCAAGTATCCAGCTATACGAAACTGGACTACAACATCCAGATGTCTCTCATAAAAGCACTGAAAAGCATTCATAGACTAGTGGAGTTGAGCCCGAGACTGACTTTGCAGTGGGCTTGGGCAGAGAGGCTTTGGCAGAGCTGTGTAAAGAAACTTACACAGTTCCAGCCACACCACACCTAGCTCTAACCAGCACAGTCAATTATGCATTTTAAAGGTAATTTGAAGTTACTGAATCACCTAAAACATTCTTTATAAATGAAATTACTTGGCAAAAAGAGCCAATCCTATTCTTCTCTTAATATGAAATTCTATACAGCACAAAGCACAAGCACCCGGATACACATGCTCCCAGACTCCAAAGGCATCAGGAGGCACACGACAGAGGCAGCAGGATTCACACACTCTCAGCCTCCATGAAAGCAGCAGTTTCTGTTTGCATTCATTTCCACAGTGCTCTGTGGGGGAAATCAAGCTCCTGCTGCACCTGTTTAATAGTGAAGTCATTGATGAGGTGATGGTTATGTTCATTCAGGCTGCAGTGCAATGTGATGCAATCGCTGTGCATTAGTAGATCCTGCAGGGTTCCTACTCGTTGTAAACCCAAGGATCGCTCCACTCCATCCGGCAGATAGGGATCATAGAAAATCACGTTGAAGCCAAAGGACTTGGCTCGCAGAGCCACTGCCTGTCCAACTCGGCCTTCACAAAAGAAAACCCACAATCATCAAGGAAAGGTAAAACAAACTTTAAAGACAAGATACTGGGGTAGACTGGGAGCCTACACTGGAGTTTACTATCAGGGCCCAGGGTACTGCAGCCCTGGAAACCCCTAGGATTGCCCTAGGGATCCAGAGGAGGTTATTCAGTGCTGATCCCATGTGGCTAATTCTACACCTTCCCCATGCAATAGGCAGAGCTTAGCCTAGAAGCAGCTCTGTTTTTCAGACCAAATCCAGACCCTGAGGCAGTAATAATCACAGAATCGCAGGGGCTGGAAGGGACCTCAGGAGATCATCCAGTCCAACCCCCCTGCCAAAGCAGGTTCCCTCAACCAAAAGGAAAGTGTCCAGGCAGGTTTTGAACATCTCCAGAGATGAAGACTCCACACCCTCTCTGGGCAACCTGTCCCAGGGCTCCGGCACCCTCGCAGCAATAATCTGATTACAAGAACTTGGAAAAGGAATTGGTAGCTTTCAAGTGGCTTTGTTGCTGATACAGAGCCTAGCACACAGGGAAACAGTCACCGAGAACTGCTTGAATGTTCCAATTCTTCTAGCCATTTGAATACCAAAAAAAAAAATCCCCAATCCCATGACATACACCCAACTTTTGAAGATATCCAGCATCACAGAATAGGGCACTAGCATTCCTTATGAGTCAGTGTGTTTCACAATGAACAGCTGTAAAATTATCGCTTTTTTCAGTCTGTGACTCTTAGGTTCCCAAAAACTTTCACAGTTCACTTTCCAATCTAACAACTCCCATCACTTACCTAGTCCAATGATGCCCAAAGTCTCCCCACGGATACGCACAGCGCCTCCAGCCACCTCTCGAATCTGTTCTACACTCGAGGCTCGATTCCCTTCCCGCATAGCCTGATGTAGCCAAGTAACACGGCGATAGAGGTTCAAGATGTGGCAGAGGGTGGAGTCAGCAGTCTCCTCTACTGAGGAGGAAGGGATGTTGCAAACTGCAATGCCTACAAAGCCATAGAGGTCAAATAAGATTTTTAGCATCGCAGTGCTAAACCAACATAGAGCTCTTCAGGCATACATGCTGAAGGATAATTCAGTGCTCCAGAACTACTGCCAAGAAACACAGGATTCATTTCAGAAGCTCATTCTACACCAATATAGATGCAATCAGCCAGCTTTTTAACCCCAAGGAAATATCACTCCTTCCTTATAAATATCTATTTGATTGACATACTCACCAGAAAAAAAACAAAAACAAAAACCAACAAAAACCAGGCTGAAATGAGAAAACTGGGTCATACAAGCGATGCAAGAAACTGACTGTTTTAGAAGATCTGCATCCAAAAAGATGCGCTTGTTCCAGGGAGACTCCCAACAGATTAACTGGCAGACTGTAGAAGAATTAAGACAGATGGTTGAGCTCTTTCATGCCTCACAGTCCAGATGCTCACTGCAAGCACCAGATTCCCCAGGAGCAACAAGAAGTAACTCACTCATTAAACGCAGAGAGAAGCCACAGGAGCCTCTCTAAATCTATTTGAAGTTACACTTAAAAATAGTAACACATAACACTGCCACTCTAGAATAATATACAACCTCGAGGGACCATAAAACCCATGGCTAGAACTATCAGGTAAATTACTAATACAAACAGAGTTAAAGTCCTGGAACCACAAATTACTGTCAAGAAAGGGAAAGCTGGAACACTGTAGCAAAATCTGGTCATTCCTAAGCAGTCCATTAAAAACAAACAAATGAACCACAGATGGGGGCTGGCAACATATCACTTCACTACTGCTACCCTCATTCAACAAACCAGACAAGAAATAAAAACAACTAGATGAAAAAAATCATCACTTCTCAAACATAACCCTAGCCACTTGCCAAACCAAGGAAACTCTTCCTCCTCAAAAGTCCACCACCTATCTGAAAACTAGGAATAAAATCTAGACAATGGTTGAAGGCACATAAAATTCAGAAAGGTATTGCCCTTTTGTAAGCCTATTACAGAGGAGACATTCAACTAAACTCAGACCACGCTCTCCTGAGAGAACTAGGAGAGCAATGGCCACACACAGTCCCACATATCAGACTCCTTTTAACTCCTTTGCAATTGTGCCACAATGCCACACAGATGACTCAGAGGACAAGAGGAGGGGAGACAGGGAAACCTAACTTCTTTTAATCTCACTGGTTACCATCTCATTCAACTTCAGACAAGCTACATGCATTCATCTCTTAGAGAGTTAGATACAAATTTGTGTTTATAGGCAATATTATGCCTAAATACAAGAAAACACAAACACAACAGCTCTTTGGTCTGATTTTAAGATTCAGCGCACTTAAGGAGCAGTATCCTACCTCAGAATGAATTAAAGGGCCTGACTAAGCATGAAAGTAATCATTCATTGTCCATGAAAAAGCAAATCTGGCCATACATAAGGGTCATCATACTATCACTCCAAAGTAAAACTGCCAAGCAGCAGTCTGATGGTGAACGAACTTTGACCCATTTCTCCTTGCGTTAATGAGTGTGGAGTGGGGGTAAAAGGAAACCTCTGAATCTGAATGAATCAAAGATATGCATGGTGACTTTAAGCAGAGAACCCTAAGAGTAGATTGGGTTCAAAATAGACCAAAAATGTAATGGCTGGATGAGAGCCAAAGACCTTGCCAGGAACTCTTGAGCCTATTTAGTTGAATCATTCAGATGAGAAGACCTTTTAGACCTAACTCAAGCACTAGACAAATATGCATTCTTCATTTATTTGCAATTCATCTGTTCTTACAGATCTGGAAATTTATGCTGCCTATTTTAATTTTATACATAAATACTTGCATTTGATTTAAGCTTAATCTGATCTGCATTACATTAAGAAAGGTTTCAAATCACTGACACAAACCTAAAAAACAAGGGGCAGGATACTTAGATTATCCACCTCACCTAGCAGACTACAAGGTCCAATGGTCTCACTGTCATATGTTTAATAAAAAGCAGCTTTTTGTCACGTGATCCAGAGATTCTTCACATGCCTAGGGCTCTAAAGGGATCAATAATACAGGGTTGAATCAGAACCTACCTGCATATAAAAAATTAACAGGAAAACTCACCAATCAAGCATTCACAGTGAGGTTATCCTGCACCAGCATTTACAGGCTGCTTTCAGACATCAGAGTTTGCCCAATTCTCTCACCACAAACAACCCCAAGCTGCCTCACCAGAAGTTATCTAGACATCATATTAAGGTTTCTGAATCTCAAAGAGTGGCAAAGACACTGACATCTACATCAGAACAATTGGAGAACTGAGAAACTTTCTTTCAAGCCACCTACCAGCTCCAATATTGGACAGCCTCCTAAAGCAGGTCCAAATCTTTTTACATAAAAGGTTTTAAATGCAGTCAGCTATAAAACAGAAAAACATGTGCAGTGTTCCACTTCATATTCAGTTCTGATCGCAACAGAGCCCTAATGGTGTCATCATACCTAATTCTGCAGCGGATTTGATGTCAACATTGTCATAGCCACTGCCAATACGCACAATGACCCTGAGGGCTTTGAATTTCTCCAGATCCTGACGAGAAAGGGTGATGGTGTGATACATCAGAGCTCCTACTGCCTCATTCAGCACCTACAAGAAAAAACAGTCCAAATCAGTCTTTGGTTACTCTAGGAGGCAGAGCTCTTTGTATAAATGCTTGCACATTTTCTCGCCCACCTTTTCATGGATTTCCTGAGTTGACTGAGCATCACAAAATGCCACTGTAGCAACATCCTTCAAGATGGGCATCTCCACAGTGCAGTCTCGTCCATCCAGGAGAGCAACCAGCGGCCGTGCTGGCATTGGGCCATTCACAATGGGAGGCCGTATGCCTATTAAGAAAATCAGCAGGAGTGATTTTACATGAAAGACAAGAATTCTGGAACCCTCATTTGCTAGTCCAACAAGTCTCTAGTTCTGTTGGAGTTCTATAGTATTTAGCAAGGGACTAGAAAAAAAGAGGAAACAAACACAAGGAAATGAAGCTAGAAAAAAAAAAATCCTGTGCCACCATTATATATAAAAAAAAATATGTTTTATCAACAGTGAGATAATAGAGGTGAGTCTACTCAGAAGCATGCCATCTTACTCTAGGCTCCCTGAAACTAGTTATAAAGTCACTTCAGGCCTGCTCTCCGCTAACCTGCTCCCCTCTCCCACCTCAGCACGCCAAGACGCCGAGTCCATTTCCTCCTCGGGTGAGCAGAAGAACTGGTAAGTTCACGGG